GCGAACGATGCCAGCGCTCAATTATCCCATTTGCTTTTGGATTGTAAGGTGTCGTTCTTAGATGCTTTACTCCGAGCACCCGATTTAATTCATTGAACAAAACGTATTCGAATTGGCGACCTTGGTCCGTTGTTATGCGCTTAGGTACGCCAAATCGAGAGATCCACCCTGATAGCAAGGTATTCGCAAAAGTTTCGGCAGAAATGTTCGCAATGGGAAACGCCTCAGGCCATCGTATTGCTCTATCGATGCACGTAAGTAAGTATGTGAAGCCTTTTGATTCAAGTAGTGGCCCCACAAGATCGATGTTGATATGTTCAAAGCGATCGCATCTGGTATCGTAGTGAAATTTGGCTTTATGGCATGCAAGGCAATTGCGTACAAATTGCTTGCAGTCTCGTCGCATGTTTTCCCACACGAATCGTTGTTGAACCAACTTCGTTGTGGCTCGCCCGTCTGGGTGACTCAGACTGTGAATTTTGTCTATAACGAGATTTCGAAATCTGTAAGTAACAACAGGGCGAATAGAGTTACCAGAAATATCGCACGTCAGCTCGGTATTGGTACCAGGGACTGTGATTCGTCTGAGTTGAAGACTCGTATTGTTGTTGCGGCGCAATGCGTTGAGTGACTTGTCGTTTTCTTGTTCGGCTGCCATTTCCTAGTTCAATAGAGTCGGCCGCTGTGGTGTAGTGGTAAGCAGTGCGCCCTTTCACTCATCAGCACCTGGGTTCAAGCCCTGGTCAAAGCAACATCGCAAAAAAAATAGAAAAAGGTTTTTTCTTAACAGCGGTCGTCCCTCGGCAATCAATGGCAAACCTCCGAGTGTATTTCTGCCATGAAAACCAGCTTCCCATAAAAATACAATTGCCGTTCGGAGTCGGCGTAAAACTGTAGGTCCCCCCGCTTTGTGTGACAACATCAAGGCGCGCGCCACAAGTCGGAGGAGAGGCTCGGCCAAACACTAACATATGTGTAAGCGCCAATCTATTATTAGTTCAATAGAGTCGATTCTTGATAGCAAATCCGGAACTATTTTGTTCTTTCCTGGAACGTGGCGAATGGTGGTTGTGAAATCGCTGATATAATTTAACTGCGCTGCTCGACGTGGAATTGTTTTTTCGCTGACTTAGTAAATGTAAATGACAGTGGTTTGTGATCGCAGTAAACTTCAAAATCGCGTCCGTCCAGTAAATGCTCGAAATACTTTATTGAACGATAGATCGCTAACAATTCTCTGTCGTACGTCGGATACCGACATTCAGTGTCGCTGAGCCGTTTTGAGAAAAACCCAAGCGGTTTGCAGATGTTGTCTTCGACTTGATGAACGACCCCTCCAATAGCAGTTGAACTGGCGTCCGTTGCTAGAATTAGCTTGGCGTTTGCGTCTGGGTGAACCAATAACGAAGCATTTGCTAATTGCTCTTTGTAATGCTTGAATGCTTGTCTTGCATCTTCAGTCCACGAGAGAGGTTTTTTTTATTGTGCTTTATTAAAATTTGTAATCGTTGTTGCGTTTCAGCTGCATTTCTGATAAAGCGACCGTAGAAATTAATAATTAAAATGAATCGTTTTAAATCTTTCGTGGTGGTTGGTTCTTTGAAGGACAATATTTTTTCTACCTTTGCAGGTAGCGGTTTAACACCTTCAGCGGTGACTTCATGACCCAAAAACGTTATTTTTCCAGCAGCAAATATGCACTTTTCAGCGTTGATCCGTAGGCCATATTCACTCAGGCGCATGAATACGTTCCGAATGTGTTCGACGTGCTGTTCGTATGATTCGGATGCGATAAATATGTCGTCTATGTAAGCAAAAACATAGTCGAGTCCCCGGAGCACTTCATCAATTAATCGTTGAAATGTTTGTGACGCGTTTCTCAGTCCGAATGACATAAAAACATACTCGAACAAGCCGAACGGGGTGATGATGGCTGTTTTAGGAATATGTGACTCTTCGATGGGGACTTGATGATACGCTTTGCGTAAGTCGATGCGGGTGAAAATCCGCTTTCCATGCAAGATATTTGCAAAATCTTGCGGGTGAGGAATCGGATATTTATCGGGTTTTGTGCGGGAATTCAACTGCCGATAGTCCCCACATGGGCGCCAGTCTCCATTGGTTTTCGGTGCCATGTGTAGCGGCGAGGCGTAGTTGGGCTTCGACGGTCTGCAGATGCCAAGTCGGAGTAGTTCGTTGAATTCTTTTTTAGTGAGTTTAAGTTTTTGTAGTGATAACCGTCTTGCTTTTGCTGTGCCCGGTGGCCCCGTAGTTTCGATGAAGTGTGTTTTACGGCTTTCTCATGGCACCCCAATTACGTTGTTCGCTCTCTCATTCGTAGTTCGCACTCCAGTTACATTTCGAATTACGTAATTCGCCATACAAAATTTTGAGAGCGAATTACCTCATTTGTTGGTAATTCAGATCCAATTACCATGCGAATTACGAAGAAATCGCTGCAGTCTCTAATTTTTATCGGAAATTTATCGGAACCAGCTGAGAAATCAAAACAAAAAACAAAAAATCCGTCAAAACAAATAAAAGAAAAGAGTAAACAAATAAGTTACAGCAAACCAACAGCAAACAGTATATTTTTTAAAATAGATGTAAAAAAGGAAATTAAAAAAAAAAATTATTATGTCGAGGAGATTATTGAACAACGTGAAACTGTGTAACGAGACGGGATGGTGCTCCGAAGAAATTTTACTTGTTCAAAATAACTATCTGCAACTTTTAAAACAATTGCAAACTTTTTATACTGTGAAAATATCGCTTACATCAGAAAGATTGACCTGGAAACATGTAAGTCCTTATTAAAAATAGTTTGTATTAAACATATTTTTATAAATCCACACATGTATTATTTTTTAGGAACGAACCCAGTCTTTCTGTGAAACAGATTGTCAGCTGGCGGATGAATGCTCATTTAAGAACAATTTTCGAATGAGTCGGGAAATTTTTTATAAATTATGCCAGTTGTTACCTGGGCTCCGTAAAAATGACACAAACATGCGTGCAGCTATACCTTTGGAGAAAAGAGTTGCAATCGCGATATATGCATTGGGCTCATCTGCGGAGTATCGGACAATTGCGAACATGTTTGCCGTGGGAATATCAAGCGTTTGTAAAATTTTACTGAGCTTTTGTGACGAGGTGTGGAAAGTTTTGGCTCCAGTATACTTGAACAACTTTCCAATGACAAGGGCGAAAATTGAAGGTTTTGTTCAAGAATTCGAAGCACTTGGTTTCCCACAGTGCTTGGGCGCCATTGGTAAGAACATTCTGCTGTCACAAAGATTGCTTTATTTTTACTTAAACCTGCCATGAACCGTCTGGGTTGCCACATCGAGATTCACCCACCACATGAAGACACCACAGATTATTTCAACTATAAGGGGTGGCATTCAGTTGTGCTGTTAGCATTGGTGGACGCTAGGTAAAGGTACTCAAAGACTCTATTGCACATAACTTGTAATTTTTTGTTTTCTATTACTTCAGATGTCGTTTTATTTATGTAAACTCTGGAAGCCCAGGACGTTGTAACGATTCGCAGATATTTCAGACTTCATCTCTAAAACAGCAACTGGATCAATGCGAACTTTTAACCGAATTAAAGAGAAGTATTGCTGGCGTAGATATACCTGTTTTTATTATTGGCGATTCGGCGTTTCGATTGAGCGACAAATTAATGAAACCATACCCCTACAATGTTTCGCAAAGCCAAGAGCAAAAACAATTTAATTATCATTTATCCAAATCTCGGAGAGTGGTGGAAAATGCTTTTGGACACTTGAAAGCGCGTTTTCGGCGAATTGGGAAAGGCATAGACAATGCTATAAAAAATGCTAACGCAATGATTTTATCGTGTTGTGTACTTCACAGTTTCCTTAGCGAAAACAACGACACGTTAAATAAAAATTGGTTACGAGCTTTAGAAATTGTAGAAGCAAACCGTTCGTATCCTGATCAAATTGTATTATTAGAGGACGAAACAAACAATCCAGGAGTAAAAAGACGTGCTATTTCCTCTTATTTGCGTGAGTTTATTTAAATTTTTTTTGTAAATGTAATTCATTAAAATAGCTTAAAAAACTCAGGTATATATAAAACATAAATTCCGAAAAAGAATTGCCATAAGTAACGTAAAAAAACTCAGGTATACAGATAATTGCAATTTTGATGAAACTTTCTTTGTTTTAAGTTTTTTAACAAAGTTTGCAATTTATATTTATACGATTTATGTTTGACAACGAGCTGTTCTTAAAAAAAACAATAAAGATCAATGAAAGATTTTGAGACTCTCAATGATTTGTTTTTAAATGAGATCAAGTTACACATAAGAAATCAAACTTTAAATCTTAAAAAATATAGGTATTTTTTCATAACACACATATATATATAAATATAACAGATAAATTCCATAAAAAACGTATTACTACAGAGTTCACAAAAAGCGTGAACGGTGTTAAATAATATTAACACTGCGAAATGCCAAATGTCGAACGGCAACAGCTGTTTACGAAAATAATGTGTATCACAATTTCAAGCCACTCACATATTAACAAGTTCCGACTTTTAACTTTTTTATTATTTAAATTCTGTTAAATAAAGTATATTTTCATAAAAAAATAATAAAACTTTAATAATAAAAAATTAATACCCAAAACGTGTGTAGCGTATAATTGTGATTAACACTAAGTTGACATTTTTCAAACGAGATCAAAATACGGATAAAACCGAACTTTCAAACTTATTGTGGCGTGTTCTTGTTTTCGTACGAATCGAAAATTTGAGGTATGATAATGATAGGAAAATTTCTTGATTTTCGATTCATGCGAAAACAAGAATACGCTCCATTATCTTTTTAAAAATTCAATCAGTGCACTTCAGCATCCTTTTCAACATATGCTTTCAAAATCTCTTTTTTTTCTTCTTCAATAACTATAACTCTTTGTGACGTATTCTTAATTTCAAAATGAATAGTTTGTATATTGTTTTCTACACTTTTAAGAAAATTTGCCAATCCTTCTTTTCTTCTTGTAGTGGTGGACGCTTTTGCCGGAACTGGTAATCCGCAGAGGCGGATGGTAATGGCAGCGGTGAACCTATTGTCATGGAGGGCGATAGCAGCGGTGTGGCTATGGTAGGTGACGTGGACGGCGAAGTAACGGATATGGGCGGTGATGGAAATCGTTCAGAAATTGGCGACAACGGTGCGGATATATTTGAAGAATTTAGATCTTAAAGAAGATATAAATTAATAAATATTTTTAATAAAAATGTTAATTAAAGGATTGTTGTACTTACTATTTATGCTATCCCTCACTAAACCCTCGGGGTGATAGCTTTTATAGGGAGCCAACAAAGCCTGCAAGTTAACGGCAGACCACACTCAGCGGCACAATGAGAAATATAAACAATATTGCTTATTGGAAAAAGCATAATTTGTATCTTGCAGATCCATAGTGTAATTTTGCTTACTCAGCAATTATGCAGCTGCATAATTGAGATCACATTTGACTTTGACCATGAATGAAATTGATATGCTTTTTCCGCTTTGAATGGAAAATTCCATTTAATTGTAACTAATATCTTCTTTGTCCAAGACATTGGCATTTCATCATAGCATGATGCAATGCCAACGCCTTATGGTGAAATAGTTCTTAAGTAAATGATTGTAAATATATAAATAAGAGTGATATTACAAATAAAGTTCAGTTCTGTCTTTTGCATAGTTCGCAAACGAACTCAAATTGCGTTCTTATTTGTTGTCCGCGAGTTCGCGGATTAAAATCTATTTTTTTTAAGTTTCCTGAACAAGGAAACATAAGTGGCGCCCAACGTGGGGCCTGCTTAAAATTTTAAAAGTGCTCGTATCGAAAATTTTTAATAAAAGTAAAAGTCGGTCGAACGGAATGTTCTTTATATATGAAACGAGTGATCGTATCGGGAAAAACCGAACGAACTTTTCGTGAATAAAAAGCAAAAAATGTTGCAGAAGAATCGGTTAAGTCGATATCACAAGGCAATATATGAAACAAGTGATCGTATCGGGAAAAACCGAACGAACTTTTTTGAAAGTAAAAGGCAAAAAATATATTTGCAAAAATAATCGCTAAAATCGGTATCACAAGGCAATCAACTAATACATACCAGTAGGAGAAACCTGCAGCAGCAATTTGCAACAACAACAACAACGGCTTCAATAAAAGGGACTAAAAGGAGCAGTTTGGACTTCAAGCAACAATAACTTAGAAGTGAGTTGTGTTAATATCTGTATGTACTAACTTATTTATTTGGGAAATACCCCAACTAAGATTAAATATAATAAATTATATTATTGTGAATATTGTGGTGGGCCACATGAAATTAAAAAGTGCCCAAAATTATTCGTAAAAAAGTGAAAAAAACACATAACTCAAGGCTTGTACAGCCTATAAACTAAAGAAAAAAGACCTCCATAACTCAACTCAATTCTGCGATTCCGAACTCCGGACCCTCCAGGATAGAAGAGCCTCCTTTCCTAGAAGGGATCACATATAAAAATAAAATTTTAAAATTATTAGTGTTTTTTTTGTGAAAATAAAAATATAATACAAAAAATATGGCAAACGGTGACTTGACAGTTGACCTTATCACGCGACTTATAGCTAACAGCAATATAGGCCTTAGGCAAGAAATTGAAAATTTACGTTCACAGTTAGAAGTGAATACGCTTAGAGCTACAGATTATGAAGCAGAAACAATTGATGAAAATATAGTGTGTCAAGAATCCCTTGACGTGATTAAATCACTACCTGAGTTTTCGGGAAAAATAAATGCGTATGTTAGCTGGAGGGAAGCAGCTCATAACGCGATGAGCCTTTACCTGAGAGGCAGTAGAAAATACTTCGCGGCCCTCACTATTTTGAGAAATAAAATAACTCAAGACGCGAATGACGTCCTTACAAACCACGGCACTCGTCTTGACTTCGCGTACTCGGACAAACGTCCGATACACATCATTGAGCAAGAATTAAGCGTCCTTCGACAAGGCGCAATGTCGGTTGTAGAATACTACAACCTGGTCAATAAAAAATTGACCCTATTGATAAATAAAACTATTATGACGCATGGAAATAGTGCGGACATAACAAAAGAATTAAATAAGAAGAATAGGGATCACGCCCTTAGAATATTCATTACAGGATTTAATGAACCGTTGAGAAATATAATATTCTCATTAAACCCTCAGGACTTACCTGATGCCTGAGCTAAAGCTCAGGAACTCGAATCAAATAATCAAAGAGCTCGGTTTGCTCAAAATTTCGCGAATGAAAAAAATCAAAGCAAAATCAAATTATACAAAACAATTTACGGTTCCCATCAAGGAACAACGTCCCTAAAGCAGAGCCCATGGATGTAGATCCATCCATATCGAGGTTCGGAAGAAATTTTAATAACAAGCCGGAACAGAATGGTGGCTTTATAAAACAAAATTTTAATATGGCTAGCACAAATGCTTCAGCCAATAAACCTCTACAAAATTTAGGGGTACAAACTCAAGATACACATGGTTTAAAGCGGCGAAGAGAAAGCAATAATAGCTTTCGACCGCAAGAGAAGGCTCAGAAGGTAAATAACCTGAACGAGAGTCATTTTTTAGGGGTAGAGGGGATGAACTCCCCTACATCAACCTCTACTATGGAAAATTAAAAAGAAACTAAAAGCTCTTGTCGACACAGGAGCGACTTCTTGCTATATAAGGCAGGGGGTCTATGAAAACAAAAATGAACTAGCCGTTTATAAAAAAGTGAAAACAGTGAACGGGGTTTCCATAATTAAATACTACCATTTGATAACCCTATTTGGAGTCCAGCAAGTTTTCTATGAAATGGAAAACTTGGAATTTGATCTCCTTTTGGGGTATAATTTACTGAAAAAAGTTGAGGCGCGTATCGACGTGCCCAATGAGAAAATTTTTTATAAAATAAAAAATGATACCGAAAGTGTCGAAAATAGCATGAGCATTAATATTCATGCAAAAAATATAAATCCTTTGGAACATAAAGTTTCCAAGGTACCTACCGATATTAATACCGGAAATACACAAAAAATGAACCCTTTGGAACCGAAAGTTTCCAAGGCGTCCGCCGATAAATTTACGGGCGATTTAAAAAATAAAAGTAATAATGAAATTACTAAACAAATTAAAGCTAAGGAACATAAAGTTTCCAAAAAACCAGCCGATAAAAAATTGGCATCAAGGAACATAAAGTTTCCAAACAACCAGCTGATAAAAAAAATGGCATTAAGGAACATAAAGCTTCCATAAAACAAGCCGATGAAGAAATTGGCATTAAGGAACATAAAGTTTCCGATAAAAAAATTAAGGAACATAAAGCTTCCGATAAACACACTGAGGAACATAAAGATTCCATAACGCCAGCTGAGGATTTTACTGGCAATATATTATTTGAAAAATATTTTGCTTTAGGACATGAGGACCCTTAGCGCCAGCCTACGAATTTACCGGAAATATCGATAATTGTTCAATACTGGGCGAAAGAGGCTCGGAAATAACGAACTATAGATGGGAACATGAAAATGACAAAATGTCAAATTTAAAAGAATACATAAAGTATAAAATCAGTGAAACACATCCTGAAGTGGATACAAGTTTTCCATTTAGAACTGATGTCAGAGCAAAAATAAGGGCAGAGGGAAAGGAGCCTATATGCAGCAGGCAGTATCCATATCCTCTCTCTGTAAATTCTTTCGTGAATAAAGAAATCAACCGAATGTTGAATGAAAAAATTATAAGACCAAGTAGAAGTCCTTATAACTCACCAATTCGGGTAGTACCAAAAAAAGGTACAAATGACGATGGATCGCTAAAGTTTAGATTGGTCATCGATTATAAAAAAATAAACGAGAAAACCATTCCCGATCGCTATCCTATACCGGATACAAATATAATTTTGTCAAATTTAGGGAAAGCAAAGTACTTCTCAAGTATTGACTTAGAGTTCGGCTTTCACCAAATTTTAATGTCGGAAAATGACATAGAAA